TTACACAGACTGCTTGCAGAGAGAGAGAGAGTGTTATTTACACAGACTGCTTGCAGAGCAGATAATTTACACAGACTGCAGAGCAGACGGAGTGTTATTTACACTGACTGCGTGCAGAGAGTTATTTACACAGACTGCTTGCAGAGAGAGTTATTTACACAGACTGCTTGCAGAGAAAGAATGTTAATTCACACAGACTGCTTGCAGAGAGTGTTATTTACACAGACTGCTTGCAGAGAGAGAACGTTAATTTCCCCAGACTGCTTGCAGAGTGTTATTTACACAGACTGTTTGCAGAGAGTGTTATTTACACAGACTGCTTGCAGAGAGAGTGTTATTTACACAGACTGCTTGCAGAGAGAGTGTTATTTACACAGACTGCTTGCAGAGAGAGTGTTATTTACACAGATGCTTGCAGAGAGAGAGAGTGTTATTTACACAGACTGCTTGCAGAGAGAACGTTAATTTACACAGACTGCTTGTAGAGAGAGAGAGTGTTCATTTCCAGACTGCTTGCAGAGAGAGAGAAAGAGTGTTCATTTCCACAGACTGCTTGCAGAGAGAGTGTTATTTACACAGACTGCTTGCAGAGAGAGTGTTATTTACACAGACTGCTTGCAGAGAGAGTGTTATTTACACAGACTGCTTGCAGAGAGAGTGTTATTTACACAGACTGCTTGCAGAGAGAGTGTTATTGAGAACGTTAATTTACACAGACTGCTTGTAGAGAGAGAGAGAGTGTTCATTTCCACAGACTGCTTGCAGAGAGAGAGAGAAAGAGTGTTCATTTCCCCAGACTGCTTGCAGAGAGAGAGAGAGAGTGTTCATTTCTACACACTGCTTGTAGAGAGAGAGAGTGTTATTTACACAGATTGCTTGCAGAGAGGGAGTGTTCATTTCCAGACTGCTTGCAGAGCACAGAGAGTTCATTTATACAGACTGCAGAGCACAGAGAGAGTTTTAAATTTACACAGACTGTCTCCATTTCAAAAGGCGCCATGAGGAGATGGAGAGGACAAAACAAAAGTAAAGTTTCTATGCCCGTATACAGCAATTGCATATGCCTGCTTCATGTTACCTCGGTGTACATTGCTGGCATGTTTTCTTTGTTTTAATGCCTCTGCAAAAGGTGGAAATTGACTTTTAATATATTTTCTTTTCAGGTCGAATGTATGTAATATAAACGCTACTTTTTGACCACTAGATTGAGCATGAGAAAAAAAAGGATTTATTTCTTATGCTCCTCAGCTCCCTCTAGTGGCCGTATTGCAGCATTGCTTTACCTACATTTGACCTGAAAAGGAAATCTAAGAACATAAAATATATA